AATCTCAGGTGAGTAAATCCCCAGCTAGTATAAATCAGTTTATATGGTTAAGAATTTGGACCACCACCATAGTCTGTCTCTTTATAATGCTCCCTACACTGGCTCCCACTCCTCTCTGGCAGCATGACTTCCTAAGGACCCAGTGCCATTGTCTAATCCCTTACACCTGTCCCCTACTCCTTCTAGTGGTCCATAGAGTCAACAGGTAGTTACCACAGCACTAGAGACTCGGTGAATGTCCAAGTAAAAATAAAGTCAGTGCATTGTGTGGCAGGGAGAGCTCAAAATAGCCCTTTAAACTATTCAAAGAAGACTCATATGTTGGGACCTACAATGGTTTTTTATTTATATTCTTCAAAACTTTTTTGTTTGTTTGTTGTTTTTAACCAGAAAGAGAAAATCCAGTGTCCAATGAATAAAAGAAAAGGCTATCTTCTCCAGATCCAGAAACTTCTATTTACATTAAAGTGATTATAACAGCCAAAATCCCAGATTGGTTTCTAACCTTCAGTGCTATTTTTTCTGATGTGTTCTGGAAAAGAAAAGAAGAGAGAAAGTCTTCCTGGTTTTGTTTATACTCTAATACCCTTGTGCTAAGTGAAGAAAGAAAATACAAACCATAGGCGTTCCCAAAGGATTAGTTATTTACTGTATATTTTAGAAAGTTCATCTGTCTGCTTGCTCAGGAACTCCTCCTAAATAGTAAGAGCTAGGACCAGCAAATTTGGTATGCACCTTCCTCTTTTCCTAACATAAAGCAATGCAATGGATTACTTGTGCCAGAAATATCAGGGCTGTGTCTACACTGGGCCACTTATTCTGGAAAATAAGCCGCTTTTCTGGAATAAGCTGCGAGCTGTCTACACTGGCCCTTGAATTTCCGGAAAAGCAACGCTGCTCTACTGTACAAAATCAGCCGCTATTCCGGAAAAACTATTCTGCTCCCACTCGGGCATAAGTCCTTATTCCGGAACACTGTTCCGGAAAAGGGCCAGTGTAGACAGCCCAGTAGTCTTTTCCACAAAAAAGCCCCGATCGCGAAAATGACGCTCGGGGCTCTTTTCCGGAAAAGTGCGTCTGCATTGGCCACAGACGCTATTCCGGAAAAGGGGCTTTTCCGTAAAAGCAGTCTGCCAATGTAGGCGCTCCTTTTCCGGAAATACTTATAACGAAAACTATTCTGTTTTAAGCATTTTCGGAAATTCATGCCAGTGTAGACACAGCCCAGATGTACATGGAATGGGATTGCTTCACATAAGATCAAACAGAAATGAGACAGAATCACCAAATTACAGTCCTCACTATTAACGTAACTGAGTGAATGTTGAAAGAGACTGAACCAAGATGAGCCAGAAAAACAGGATGAAAATAAAAGAAATTTGAAAACGTGCTCTGTTTTGGCACTAGCAGATTATATAAGGTAAATCTGCAAGCAGTATATATTAGAGAAACTAGATAAATTAATATGAAGAAAAAATGTTCTGAGTGTGCCTAGTAGATGTGAATTGTTGGACTACAATTGTGCTTTCCACCAAGAGAAGATAGGTATCCAGTTTTGTTAATTAGGCATTGGGTGGTGAATAAGTCACATCTCTGATTCTAAGTTTTTGCAGGTGATGGCCCAGGTTCACATGAAAGTTAAGGGCTCTATAATCATCCATAAAAATCACAGAATGTTCTTGGTTTTTTTTTTTTTACAAAGGGAAGGGGAAAAAAATCTTTCTGGCTGAAGGTCAGTATTTTCTGAGAGTAAAATACTTCCCCCAAACCCTCAGTTACTTAAGCAAACAAACATTCAAAGCTTAAAAAAAAAACTAAAAGTTTGAAGATTTCTTTCTCAAGGAGAGCAGTTTTTCCTTATTCAAGCAGCATGTCAGCTTTCAATCACACTATTCTGTTTTATATATTTTTCAGTCTATTAGCTGTTCTCCTGAGGGGAATTCATTGGGGTTCAAACTCCATTGGGCTACGTCTACACTGGCCCCTTTTCCGGAAGGGGCATGTTAATTTCAGAAGCCGTAATAGGGAAATCCGCGGGGGATTTAAATATTCCCCGCTATTCTCTTTTTGTGGAAAAGCATCCATGGCCAATCTAGATGCGCTTTTCCGCAAAAAAGCCCCATTTGCCATTTTCACGATCGGGGCTTTTTTGCAGAAAACAGTACTGTGCTCTCTACACTGGCCCTTTTGCGTAAAAGTCTTTCAGATCTTACATGAGATCATCACTGCTTTTCTGGAAATTCAAGCGGCCAGTGTAGACAGCTGGCAAGTTTTTCCAGAAAAGTGGCTGATTTTCCGGAAAAACTTTCCAGTCTAGACACAGCCCATGTATCTTTGAAATACTTAGTCAACCCTGCAAACTTTGCTACTTGTAAGCAGCTTTACATACATGAATAGATCTGTTGAGTTCAGTGAGACTATTCCCATATGGCAAGTTACATGCATAAGTGTGTTGAAGATGGGCCTCATGCTATAAAAAAGACATGGCAAAGTCTAAAATTCACATATGCCACTTTTCCCTCTTTTCTATTTTCCTCCTTCCCTTTTAATTTTTCCCTGTGTCATATCATATTGTAGGTTTAAAAAAAAAGACACCCTTTATGTATCATACATGTGAAATGAATTCCTTTTAGGTCTTCCTCCTTATTCTGAATTATTTGTAAAGTTTATTTAAGATAAATATCTATTTTAAAAGACTCCAGTAAAAGTATCCTAATATTCTGAGTTTTCTCAGAAAAAAACACAATATTAAATCGTATTGCCTATAACGAAGGCCAGTACCTTTCTAGCTAGACACAATACCTACTGACTTAATTTGGATTCCAAATTCTCATTGTGCCTTACATACGTATATATTTGAAAAGGAGGAAGTCTCTCCTGTGACTATCTTTATGGAGAGGAAGATAAGCAATAGCTTTGTTCTTCTGCAGGCAAAACACTTTTCAGGAGGAAATTAATTGTTACTCCATGACACAGGTGAAAGGCCAAAACAAAAGTTACATTACTGCCTGCAGTAACAAAGCTTGCTGTACTAACATAGAATGCAAATAGTCTAAGGCAATACATTCTTTTTCTTTTCTCACAAAAGTCACTTCATATCAACAGTAAAACTCCGATAGTCCTGCATCCAACTGTTTGGCACTCCTGATACTCCGGCATCAAAGTGACAAGCGCTCCTGACCAGCTGATTAAAAAGCCTGCCGCTTAGCACACCCGCTGGCTGTAACCAAAGGTAGCATAAGATTGGGGGAGGAGGGAAGGGAGTGGGATCGTGTTACAGTATGGAGAAGAGCATTTTGCTTCAGTGAAGGGGAAAGGGGAGGGGAGGGGGAGGAGGATCAGGTTACAGCACGGAGGAAATACGAAGAGGAAAGGGGAGGAGAGAGGGAGGGAGATTGTCCTGGCCAGCTGTTAAGCCGTGTAGCTGTACCGCACCTACTGATTCTCCTGCAAATCTGATAATCCGGCACCACCTAGGTCCAAAAGGTGCCAGATTATTGGAAGTCTACTGTATAAGATTTTGTGTTTTCCAACACAGAAAAACTGCGGATGCCACCGTCTTCCAGAGCCTCAATTCTAACACTCTGCAGTTAATACAACACTCAGTTCTCATCTAAGGTTGATACTGATCCAGGATTTCCCTGGAGCATCTAGGAATCAGCTTCCAATTCTAGGAGAAAATGAATAAACTCTTCCAATATATAAGAATATGGCAACACTCCATTTTGTAGGCACTGTATCCACCTCAACAACTGAATTCTCTACTTCTCCTGCCCTTCTATTCACAATGGGGCACATCATGAGTGGGTATGAACCAGCATATCTTCATTGTCTATTTACATCAGCAGGAGATCTAGCCACATGGATCTAGTCCAATGACTTAATATAAAAAATCAAAGTATTCTTCAAAATGCATGTCTTGCATAAAGGCATAAATAGGATCCATTTAATGCAAAGCTACAAAACCAGAATTACTATGGTCACTGGGGGTGTGTCTAGACTACAGGGTTTTGTATTCACAATGGGGCACATCATGAGCGGGTATGAACCAGCATATCTTCATTGTCTATTTACATCAGAAGGAGATCTAGCCACATGGATCTAGTCCAATGACTTAATATAAAAAAATCAAAGTATTCTTCAAAATGCATGTCTTGCATAAAGGCATAAATAGGATCCATTTAATGCAAAGCTAGAAAACCAGAATTACTATGGTCACTGACAGTGGTTTTCCAATTGCCTTAGATAATCAAACATATAGCCAATTTTTCCCCAGGTATTTAATACAAAAAATATACTGAAGTATGAGGAATGTTACAAATATAAAAGTAGCATTTTATAGTTATCTTAGCTTGTAAGGTAACATGGCAAAGATTCCATTTTTTCCCTCAAGAGGGCAAATACTGTATTTCTGCTAGAATAATAGTTCTTAACCTTTTCTATACTATGCGTTTATGTTACAACACAGAGAGATTTGGAAATCACCTCGCTTTATTTCCCCTTCCATCTTGCCACAAAGAAAGAGATCATTGTACTGACCTCCCTGAGACCTGGTTCTAGAGATCACATCCCACAGCTGGTGAACTCATGACCAAGAAAACTATTGACAATTTTAGTGAAAATCAAGGCAGTGGGAGTTGATTCTGAATGGGTCCATTTGAGGGCCCCACATACAGGGAATAAAGTAGAGAAAAATGAGGAGAATAGAAAGTGCAGGGAGGAACTTAGCAATATTGTACATTAGTAACTATAAATCATTATTGGTCATCAGTTTCTGCGAGTTGCCATAAGACTAAATTGCTTTTCTGGATCTAGGAATGGAATCCCTAACAGTCAACTACCCTAATCCTAGCCTACAATGTTTTGGTTAATACTGTATGCTTTCTTACACTCACAATAGAGATCAATAGCAGATATATATTTTTTATGAGGATCCAGTCAGCCCATTCAAAGAAGTGAGTTCTACAAGAAAATGGTTGAGTTTTACATCAGTGACTTACCCAAATGTTTCCATCCTGGTGATATGGCTTCCAGTTTCTCCCTGTATCACTATACAGCATCCGGTACTGAGTCACCCAGTCTGAGCTGCTATATCTGCCTTGGGTTGCGATAGCACTGATTTGTTTCCTGCTCCCAAAATCCACTTGCAGCCATTGATAATGGTCACTATCGGATGGAGACCAGCCTCCAGCACCTGTTGAGTTGGAACAAGAGAGAGACAAACCAGACCTCTTAATCCAAACAGCTTTTGACACATACACATTGAAAAGATGCTAGCTGCTGGATGTAAGCAGAGAACAACATAACACTGACACAACTAAAACATATAAAAAAGAAATATGAGACCTAAAAATTGTCATTTTTATATATGCCATTGGACATTCAATTTCTTTCAAGTTGTATCAGATTATTACTATAACTTTTTGTGTTTTAGTTATGTGGTGTGAACACACACATTACTGTACTGTACTAATGAGACTTTTTATATTTCCTTAATTAGAGGTTATTAGTACATGTCAAACTTAATTGTTAAGAGTTGAACAATTTGCTATAAACTTCCTTTGTCAGAGTTAGTTGATGCAAATCAGTGACTATCTATTGATTCCTTATATCCTTTAAATGCTATTTCAACTTAAAAATATTATACTCATTAAATGGGAGAAAATAATGCCATGCACCTCTAATTTCCTTTCTTAACAGTCCATCATTTCCCTATCAGAGGGGTAGCCATGTTAGTCTGGATCTGCAAAAGTGAGAAGGAGTCCTGTAGCACATTATAGACTAACAGATGTATTGGAGCATAAGCTTTCGTGGGTAAAGACCCACTTTGTCAGATGCATCTGATGTGGGTCTTTGCCCACGAAAGCTTATGCTCCAATACATCTGTTAGTCTATAAGGTGCTACAGGACTCCTTGTCGCTTTCACCATTTCCCTGAAATGCATAGACCTCAGAGAATATCTATCAGCAGTAGTTAAAAAAGAAAGGTGCTGCAGGGATGACTCAGATTTTGATTTGCTGGGCGTACAGGATGTCACAGAGTACATTAACTGATACTTGGCAAATGTATTATCACTCTTTATGGGGCTATGAATTAACTTGATAGTAATATTATTAGCAATATGCTATTCAATCACTAGACTATATTGAACTGATCTTAATAAACAAGGACAATGGTGCATAGATAAAACCAAGTGTCAAGGCATTGAGGCAAGTCTTTACTATACTAAAGCACAGAATATTAGAGGGGAAAATAGAAGTTAGTGATATGCAGGATAATAAAAGACACTGATAATGTGCAGCACTGTGAAACTGATGACGTTTTATAAAATTATATTTTGTAAAATTATACCAATAATTGTAAGTATTACATAAGGGAAAAGCAGAGAATAATTATGTTTATACTTGAATGTGAGACTCCAATACAGAAAAAAGTCTGCAAAGATTTAAAATGACTCCAAGGAATTAGTCCAAAGACATGGCCAGGATCTGGCAGGTACTATACAGTACTGAAAAACAGTTTAATTTGCCACATGGTAACTTCTACTACTTTTTGCTACTAAATGGACTAAATTTCCATCTCAGACCTACTGGGCAGCCCCTATTTTGCTTTCTGATCAATCGGCTGGCTTTATTAAATAAAGCAAACAAACCTCACAAATGCAGCCACAAAGAACTCTGGTCACATACACAAATAGGCAAGATAATTTTCCATAGGAATCGAAGCCAAAACCTTGCTCAGGAGCACTCAGGGCAATTACCAGTTATGATAGCAAAGAAAAGCCTTTCATTTGGAGAAAGTAAACAATTGCATAATCACTGAGACTGATTTGTACCAGTGCTGACTGGAGCTGCTAAATTGAACATCAAAAGATTGATCTCTGGCATGGCCTGGTTGTGGAGTTGCAGGGTAGGTGCTGATATAACCACATATTGATCTGGGTTGCACTTCAAAACATCAAATTAGCCTGACATTATGAGATTTTCAAAGGGTTTTATGGGTAACCACCATCATGAAGAGAGCTAGTTTAGTGCTCATTTACATGAATAATATAATGTGCAAATTTCAAATAATTATTTGAAGCATCTGTGGTAATATTTATTCACATTCATGCAAAATCAAATTCACTAGATTTTTCACAGAAAATAAGTAAGGCCATGATAAAACAGAATATACATCCTTTATTTTCTCTGTGAATTGGTTTTGAGGGATCAGGGACATATATTTGTGGATCTACTAGAGTAGTCCATCCATCAATCAATCTAAATATCCTTGGACAGGTTTATCATTGTGTGACACCTAAAGATGATGTCACACAATGGTAAAGTGTCTGTGAATGTACTCTGTCCCTGAACCACTATATATAGGATATGAGAGGTGTAAATGGAACTAAATAAATGTCCTTTAAACCTGATTGAATTATGCCAGTTACAAACTCTTAATCACAGAATATAAAAATATGCAGAATAAATCGGATTAATTTCTATTATTTCTTTTACTTTTGCATTTTTAAAATTATAATTAGGATTCATGGAATATACTCTCTGGATACATGTAATTTATTTTAATCCATTGAACAGTACAATACAAAGAAGAATAGTGATATTCCCCTAAAATATCCCCCAAATTAATTATTTCTGAAGTGCACAAGAACACAAGGTACTAAAATTTACTACATGTTATTTGAATTGTAAATATATATGAGTCAAATAATGGTGTTAATGTAGTATTGCCTGATCTATGTTGTGTAACAATTATATTGATTATTTAAGAAATCCCAATGAACACTAAAGTATGGTGGGTTCTTTTTGCAAGATCAGGTACAATATTATTAGAAACTGTTCAGCTAAGAACCCTAATGGGCACAGTTGCAAATACTCACAAATAGAAAAAAAATCTTCTGTATTTCTAATACTTTTTGTTAATACAGTTAGCAAAAATAACAAATGCTCCAACCCAGAAAGAAAGATAGGGCCAATACAATCCCTTGTAGAACAACCTGAAGTGTTCGTCATTATCATCTTCTTTATCATCTTCCTCGTCACCATCTTCAATGGTCACCAGTCAGGTACCTTCCAATAGTTACATCTTCCAAGGCACACATTTTTTACAATATGTTATACTGACACTATGATGTCTAAGATATATTCAGTAAGGATTTCATCTTTTTTTTAAAATGTGTATTCCTTCACTCTATTAATATTGGAGTGTCATTCTCCCAGAGGTTACTAGTCCATTTATCTAAAACTTACTAGCATATACATAAATCAGTTGCATTGGTATTCTGCTGATGTTAATAACTTCAAAACCATACACTTACTCGTTTATGTATCCTTACCTGTTTACTTCTTTTCTTATTTACAGGATTGACTACAAGCATTTTTTTCTGCAAGAGATCTGAGCAACAAATTGATTTGAGGTAAGTGATTGGGCTTTTGGTATAAAAAGCAAATGAATCTTTTGTGAACTTTGGTGTATAGAAACCAACTAACACTAAGGCTATTTCTATACTGGCAAGTAAACAACAAAAGTTTTGCCATTCACAGGTATTCAAGTAACACTCCCACAAAAGATAAAAGTTTTGCCCAAAACAAGTGCCATGTGAACAGTCCTTTTTTGACATGTGTGCTCTCCAGCCAACAAAGCAAACACCGCTCACTGAGAGTGGAAGTATTTTGTTAGTTTCCTTAAATAGCATTTTCTATGTCTTGACAGCATGCCTGTTATTTCAAAATATCTTTCTAAATAACAGATGCACTATTCTGATGTCCTGGTAAACTTGTTCTATGGGGATTAAGGGAGATTTCGGAGCAGCGCTCTATTGTGAAATACACTGGAAATAAACTATGCAATTTGCATAGCTCAAATTGAGTTGCTTATTTCGAGCTGTGGGTGCAGCGCAGATGCATACTAAGGGTACATCTAGACTACAGGCTTTTGTCAGCAGAAGTTTTGTTGACAGATACTGTCAACAAAGCTTCTGTTGACAAAAAGCGTCTAGACTACATCCAGCAAGCCATTTTGTCAACATGACAGAATAGATGCAAAGGACAGTGTAGATGCAATAATGCCTTCTGTCGACAGAACTCTGTCGACAAGAGGCTTTATTTCTCATAGAATGAGGTTTACAGCCGTCCACAAAACTGCTGAGTTCTGTCAACATTATGTCTACAGAACTCAGCGGCAGTGTAGATGCAGGTATAGTTTTGTCGACAAAAGTGGACTTTTGTCGACAAAACCCGGTAGTGTAGACACACCCTTAGTGACACAGCTATGTCAACACAGTCGTGTCACTACAAGCTGAGTTGTATAGAAAAGGCTAAGTCCAGATCACTTAGGGTGTATCTATACCACATCTATAGCTTGAAATAAACTATGCAATTTGAGCTACACAAATTGTGTAGCTTATTTCAAGTATATTTTGAAATAGAGTGCTATTCTGAAACATCCCTTAATCCTCATGGAACAAGGTTTAATGGGATGCCATAATAGTGTGCTAGTTATTTTGAAACAACAGAAGCGCTATTTTGGGATACCGCAAATAGTGCTGCAGTGTAGATGTACCCTTAACATAACAAAGATAGACTGGCATGTCCAGGAGACTATGACGCCATGGCAAGACTACTATCATGTTTTAGGAGTTCAAACTTGTTACTGGGTTAATGGAATCTAGTTATAGAATACACAACCAGTTTGGGGTCTCTGCCCTGGGCCCTGGTTCTTGACAGTGTGCCCTAAGGCTGTCATTCAGGGTCACTTCACATAATTTGACACTAGCTTTATGTGATTACTTGTCAGCACCGTAGTCGTACCATTCTATTCTGTGATCTCTTACAATCTACATTTACTCCTGATTAACTATTTATGCTAATGCCTTTTTTGGACCTCTGTCTCTTTTATTTTAGCTAAGAAACTGTCTTACAAGTCTTGAAGCTTATATACTCATTACAATGCTGCCTTAACTGAAACTTATGCTATATCTATAGGTTATTGTAGCTTCACAGTTCCCATTTTTACAAGACACTTTTTTCAATTGATTATAATTTTGCCAAACTTAAACTAGTCAGTCCTAATTTTTTCCTTGGCAGATTTCTGACTCAGGCTGAATTTTTCTGTGAATGTTTCAGCCTCAACAGTGCAGCTATTTCTGCTAACATGGGTAGAAGCAAAAATATATCATTCTGAAATGATAAA